GAGAGAGAGAGAGAGAGAGAGAGAGAGAGAGAGAGAGAGAGAGAGAGAGAGAGAGAGAGAGAGAGAGAGAGAGTTTTCATCGTACTGTTGCTTCCACCCTTCGTGCATTTGCGCGCAAAGCCGCAACAGGGCATCTAGTATACAAGAATGTTTGTCTCCAGCGGCTCACAACGGATCTCAACCAGATAGCGGCTATGGCTTCTCCCCTCTTCTCCCCCTTTCTCTCTGACTTGACTCGCTCTGCCTCACTCTCTCTCTTCTCTCTCTGTCTCTACCCTGGATTGTTTCCCTGGACACACCCACTGAGGTAGCTTACACCTTGGCGTCTATGGCCGCCGTCCTCCTGCTCTACCGCTAGCCTAGCTATGGAGTATCTCTCAAGCGCCCTCTTCTTCTTCGGGCGCACAGTGCCCAAGTTGCCTTAACACACAAGCAGCAGCAGCGCTTTCGCATTTCGCAACTGAACAAGTGATGAGCCGCTGCACTGTAGCAGCTAAATATAGGACTTGGCTTCACTGGGCTTGGCTTGGCTTCGCCTGCTTGTCTGCTGCAAACACTTTGTCGGTCCGGTAGCTTCCGGACTTTCATGGGGCATTCAGCAAAATTGGACTTGGGACTGTCTGACTGGACTGGACGCTTCTGGACTTTTCTTGTCGGGTACTGGACGGACTTCTACCGACCTATGACACAAGGGTACAGACACCTACCGACCTAGGACGCTTCGGCCTCTAGACCCTATGGTCTACCCTACGGGATGGACCTGGGGCTTGGAACTTGTCGGGACCTTGGGACCGGGACTGGGTGTTATTCTGTATGTTATCCGTTTCCCGCTCCTGCTCGCTTCTGTGAAGATAAACGGTAACATTTCTGTGTGTTGCTGGAACCACCTTGGGGATCACTGGAAGCTTGATGTGTTTCCTTGAGAGCTGGGAGTAAAAGTTCTGCATGTCTTCCTGCTCTCCTTCAGGCTTGGATTGTGTAATTGGGGATGGATCTCATGTTTCCCTGCAGATTTTCTACCCTCCCAATAAAAGGGGCTCGTCCCCTGCAGTTCAAGTCTTCTGTGCTCAACAAGGAGATGTATCTTTCACCAAGAGGAACTGTATCTTTTGGCTCTCCTAGTCACTTTTGCTAGGACGGAAAAACGCGGTGTCCAAATGTGGTAGTATTCACTTGTGGGTTCCGTATTCATGTGACCTTTGACCATGCAACTGCAATCATATTTGTGAATTTTCAGATGGCAAGACCATTCGTTGCCTCGCATGACAGTGTTTTTGCTGGTTGCTTGTTTCTTATCCAGGTGTCATTTCGACTGGAGTCATTATGAATCTGAACATCTGCTTGACAATCCCCAGAAAGTCACTGACCATTACAAATCTGTCACCCAGGTCTTTCTGAAGGTGCGATAAATGAAATCTCTCTCTCTCTCTCTCTCTCTCTCTCTCTCTCTCTCTCTCTCTCTCTCTCTCTCTCTCTCTCTCTCTCTC